CTGCCGGGCAGGTTCTGCCCCTCCCCCCGGGTTTGGGGACCCCCGCACCCACCGGACTTTCTCCATCAGCAGGTGGTACTGGCGCACCTCCAGCGTGACCCTGGCCAGGAGCCGCTGGTCCTCAGCCGTGAGCGCCATGGCCGGCACCACGCCCGAGAAGAACTTACACACGAACATGCCGGCCCTGGGGACGGGGACAGGTGTGAGCACAGCTGGGGACAGGACAGGTGTGAGCACAGCTGGGGACAGGTGTGAGGACAGGTGGGGACAGCTGGGGACAGGTGTGAGGACAGGTGGGGACAGCTGGGGACAGGTGTGAGGACAGGTGGGGACAGGTGGGGACAGCTAGGGACAGGTGTGAGGACAGCTAGGGACAGGTGTGAGGACAGGTGGGGACAGGTGTGAGGACAGTCAGTGACACAGGGACAGGTGTGAGAACAGGGGACAGGTGTGAGGACAGAGGGGGACAGGGACAGGTGTGAGGACAGCTGGAGACATCTGGGGACAGGTGTGAGAACAGTCAGTGAAACAGGGGTCACGTGTGAGGACAGGGGACAGGGACAGGTGTGAGCACAGGTGGGGACAGGTGTGAGGACAGCTGGGGACAATTGGGGACAGGTGTGAGACTCAGTGACACAGGGGACAGGTGTGAGGACAGGGGCGGGGACAGGGACAGGTGTGAGCACAGCCTTGGTGACATGAGGACAGGTGTGAGCACAGGGCCAGGTGTGAGCACAGGTCTGGTGACACAGGGACAGGTGTGAGCACAGGCAGCTCCCGTCCCCCAGGTGTGTCTCTTGACCTGTTGATGAAGTTGCCCAGGTTGTTGAGCAGCTCCGAGTTGTTTTTCAGCAGCAGGTCTGCCCAGCAGAAGGCGCTGTCCTGGCCCTCGGGCCGCAGGTAGAGCAGGTAGAAGCGCCACACGTCCGGCGGGATCCCCGTGTCCTGGGCCATGTCCCCAAACACGCCCACCCCGCGGCTCTTGGAGAACTTGCCGTCCTCGTAGTTCAGGTACTCTGGGACAGGGGGGGACAGGTGGACAGGTGGGGACAGGTAAGGGACAGGTGGGGACAGGTAAGGGACAGGTGAGCACCCGCTGTGAGGTCCTAACCCCGCCTGGGGGAAGTGACCCCTCCCAGGCAGGGGACGGACCCCTCACACCTGGGACCCCTCACACCT